AACCGAACCCGTGCAAGGTCACAATTGAAGGACAATGGAACAGTAATATGGCTGTCTTTAGCACAGTTAAACAAACGAGCACAGTAAAACAATCACTGGTACAATTGGTTATAATAATGATTGTTTCCATTAAACCAGTCGCGTTCTCTTGATAAAAGTTGGTCACTACGCATGTACTACAGAATCGATATTCACAGTAGATACCCTTTCAAGTGTCTCAAATTGATTGAATATATATATATCCACCATCAGATATCGATTCGAAATCTAAATATTGAGCTGTTGCTGAGAGACCGAAGGCGCTGAGTTTAATCCCCTATGGAAATGTGCAACAGCAATACTCATCATGATCAATGTTCAATTTGTTGTTTGATCAACCAACTTTGTTATCTTCAACAAACATCTTTCTTACTACTGAAAACAACATTTTGATTAATAAATCATCAATATCATCTAACATGTTGACATAATTATTGACATAATGACAGAATAACTCTGTTGTCATTTGTTCAAGATGTTATGATATTACGAATAAATGAATAACTATTTCATAGTTGAAGAAATAAAGATGGGTGTGTTCAATCTCGATGAAAAACATGATATTTTGTTAGTTTAGTCATATTCATCTACATGATGTGTTTGTGTGTGGGTGTCTGTTGGTGATTTAAATTATGATACTTCATTGAATAATTCATCATTGACATGTCCCAACATGTTTGAAAATAACATCATAATGATAACAAGTAATTTGATTAATCGGCTCTTATTTTCAATCCTTTCAAGTTACAAGATAGACTGTTCTGATTAGAAGTTGTTATCAGTTGATGAGCCATTGAAAATCAAGAAGTCATGTATTCCTGCTCATTTATCGTTTAACGATTACACACGCGTGTAAATTGATCGAATTATGGAGAATGTCTACCGATTTCTTGAAAACTACAACAATATTTTCAGTGATTTTCAAGTTTATCAGAAACAAAGTGAATCAGTCTTTAGAGTTCAGCGTATTCAGCACGTTTAATGTTATGTGTGTTAGGTAGATTCATTTTGCATTAGTGAAATAACTTTGATGTATATGTTGAACATTCAGGGTTACTACCTTGTCTATTGAATGTTACGTAACAGAAGCTGAATTTCAGTTTGTGTTTGCTTGACCGGACAATTTCTTGTAGGAGGAATTTTACAATTCTTAGACGATTCCTATAATGTGTAGATTTAGTTCGTTGAAGAAAACGTCGATTTCTCAGTATATGTGGCTTTTCGTTAATATAGGGTTGAATATTTGAACAAAACATTTGAATTTGTTAAATCGTATTGTTTTAGAAACCATTTTCATGGATAGAGTTCGGTTTTTACTATGGAGTAGGTTGGAAATAGGTATTTGGTTGAACCATCAATACGTGTGAGCAACGATATAACCTCAGTGTTGTAGGAGGATGTGAGGATATCAATACTTCTGAATATAAATAAGAAGAATTTTAATTGACCTTTTTGAAATCTTCAGATTTCAAAGTAACTATTTGTGTTGATAAATTTCAGCACTATCTCATCTTTTCCTTATTCCTTCGATTATTTTTATGAAGTCTCAATGCTTTAAGATTTCTTAAATGTTTGGATGTTAACACGGAATTATCGCAGTCAAATGTCGTACGCACTGAATTTCGATAAGAAAATTAACAGATCTTTCTTTCAGAATATTAACTCATCGACAGTACCCAAGTTAGAATATTTGATATTACAATCAACAATGTGTATATTAACACTTAATTACTTGCTTACGTCTGTCAACCCTCATGGAAGGCACAGATTTCCCACTAGCATTCTTCATCCGACTCTGTTCTGGGAAATCCTTTCAAGTTGTTATTCATCCTTTTCATGTCTGCTTCCGATTCGCAACACAGAGTTCTTTGGTCTTCCTCTTTTCTGTTTCTCCGAAATAGCGCTTGTTCCGTGATGCAGTTTGAGCATTTCGTAATGTATATCCTATACATTTCCATTTTTCCCCTAATTTTCTCCTCAGCTGGAAGGTGTTTGTCCTCTCCTGTAGTAAATCGTTGCTGATAATATCCGAAAAAACGGACATTGATTTTCTTTCGTAGGAATTACTTTTCTACTGTAGTCTTTCCGCTTAAACGAATATTTGAACGAAGCGCTTTCGAAACAATTTCCTATTCGACTAGTTTTTACTCCATTGACAATACGTATGAAGGTCATAAGGGTTCATTTTTCGTCGTTTGTGACTCATAGGCTAAACTTATGTCCAGTACTCTGTGTATTCTATATAGTGTGAACTCATGATTCATCTGTAATTGATGTGTGTCTGATTTGGAATTCCAAATACATTACGTTTATCTGTGCTCAACTAGTTCTATTTCCTATAAACTACCCAATTTCAATAACTCCTAGTTAGTACAATTATTCGATTACTGCTAATTATCACATTGGCGTCGAGATGGAGCCCGTGATGGGACATTCGGACATATATTCGAATTTTGAAGCCTTCGAAGCTTACATGGAAATGTTAAAAATCCAGACTATGAACAAAGGAGATATTAGACATGTTAATACTGTGGCTCATTCAATCACATTTATCTAGCTTTACCAGGAAAATGAACTTCAGTCAATACAAGCCTACATTTCACGCGGTATTTGTCTAGAAAGCTAGAGAGACTGGTGTTCGGGAAATAATTGGATCAATACTATGAAGAAAAGTGCATCAAATGAAAGTCAAAATCATTGTGCGACAAAATCTTCTAGTCAATCAACTTCTTATCGGATTTCTAATGTTATTTTACCAGATATGGCTTGTCCTAATGATTCACATATCTTTGGTGAAACTTCTCGTAAATCCGAGGAAAATTCGTTGAATGAATCAAATCACGATCGGAAATCTGATGCAGTTTTGATCGATGCTGATTTTTTTAATGATCCACTATCCTCCAATGACATTTCTAATAAATTTGAAGAAAATATTTCAAAAGAATCAAATCCTGATGCCAAGCCAAGGATGGTTGTACTTATGATGCATGTGTTTCTTGTATGAAACTTGTTCAATGCGAAGCACCAGTTCTAAGTGAGCTCGATTTTGATTATGGTCCGGATAACTTCATACCAAACATTTTATCTTCATCATGAAGTCTCTTCTAATGAATACTCTAGTCAACATGCAAACTATGTTATAAATCAAGCCACATCATTTATAACTCGAGGATACGAAGATCCAACATTATTTTGTACGGGAGAATAGTGAGACAATCTATGGTTCGTCATTTATATAACTGTGATTTCTGTACATGGGGATCATATAAAACACCAGGACTTGGATGAGTTCATTCCAACTTTGGTTGTCAATTCTAACAGTAGTGAACATAGTCTAGATCACATAGAGTCTGTATTCAGTACACAGCCTGAAAAAAGCAAGCAAGAGGAAGTTTTTATGTATGAATGATTGTTTAACCTTTATTTACGTTGTAAATTTTAATTTTTAGGTTAGTAGATTTCTCGTTTTTAGCGGCGCATTATCATCGGCTAGCATCTGCAAGTTTAGGAGGGTACATATGAAAAATCACTGATGGGTGATTAAATACCGGTAGTCGCATGTTCCATGGTGCGGGGAGGAAATAGCTGATGATTTTTCAACCAAGACTTACAAGCGTTTCGAGTCAGGTAGTATCAAGATAATAGGCAAACGTGCGTCACCCAAATTATCCAAGGGTATAGGGTTGCAGAAGCACCCTGGAGTACAAATAAGATAGGGTTTTTGAAATTAAATGCCCTATGGTTCTTTGTTGTGATAGAAAAAATAGTGACTCTGACAGTGGCTTTGATAAATAGATCAATTACGGTAATAAGGTCATTGTAAACGAATTTCTATATCCTACTTGCCATGTTGTGTGAGAAATGATTATGGAATAGTCCTGAGATTTATCGGAAATATGACATCTCGGCTCTATCCTCTGATGTATAGTCTTGAATTATAATTTGAAAATGTTCATCGAATAACCCCTGGCTCAATCCTATCGACTGTGTCAAATGCTGGTTGTTAGAAGCTATGGAAGTTATTTGTAAATAGATGCTTGTGCTATGCTTGCATGTTTTGTTTCATCGAGCATAAAGAAGTAGCAAGAAAACATCTTGATCACCCATCAGTCTGAATAGTGTCACAATTGTTGACGAATCAACTACCGATCTGTGTTTGGTCGTATTGATATTACAATGCTTAGTCGACCATATTCGTGTGATGATTAATCGTGACGTTCATAACGTGGAGAGTCGAATAGTACGGTAAGAAGTAATGCACAACATATATTCTATCACAACTAACAGACTTACAGATGATCCAACAACTATTACCTTATATTAAAAGTAGATGAGGTGACAGAATCTACTAGCTGCAGTGGTATGAAAGTTCAGACACATTGGCTGATATATATACATGCAGTATTTCTTTCCTTCAAACGTCATTGTCATATTTGTGTTTACTTTGCTTCCGAGTAATTAACAGATATTTATGTACCCGTACTTTCTGCTTCTCATATATCCTGTGTATATTCAACAACTGGTGTTTTGTCTAAAAGACAAGTTCCTTGTTTGGGTTAGGGTCTTATCACTTCAGCTTGTTCTCGATGTCAGGAAAATTTATTCCAGCATATTTTTTAGTAACCAGCTTATTCAACATGCTACTGTTTGAACATAAGAGTAGATTTTGTAGGGTTACCAAAGCAGCTCCAGTTACCTGACTTACCACCTTCCACTGCGAAACTATTCTAGATATTACACCATAGTCCAAAAAGATTTTGTCGGATGAAGCTGGCGTGTACAACAGGACTAGTTGTACAAAAAAGTACTATGGATGGTAATTAATTGTCACATTTGTTGATGAGTATAGTGTCTTTCAGGTAATTACTCAATCAGTAATAGTCCTGAAACTGACAAGCGCAGTTACCGTGCCCCACATTTCATAACTGTCCACCTGTTTTATCTAAATGACAATGTGTCCAGTGAAAGTTGTAAGCGGCTAGTTGAATGCTGCGTTACTTCGTAATGCCGATAATTTGATTCTGTTTACTATGTTGGGGAAGTATCTACAGTTTATGTACTTTGTCTTCTTGTGTTCCACACACCTTTGCAGTGGTGATAAGAATACATCAGTAGTTTATGCTGTCAAAAACTGTGTCTTGTCAGAAAACGCTTCATTTCTTCATGGAATTGTTGGGCATTTGTAAGATATTTCTTTTGCTTTGAAAATTGCTCCAGATTCTCCGATGAGTCTGACGAAAAAGCGGACTATTATTTTAGCGTTTGTGGTTTCAAAACAGAGGAAAACTCATCAGTGTCATTAAATCAATCCATCATCACAGTTAGTGAAGCCAGTGTTGTAGAATTAGGATCGTTCAGTAATTTTACCATTTCTAACAAAGGTACTGTTAAAACATTGAAACTCATTGACAGGTGATCGGCATCTGGTAAGGTTCAATGATTCAGAGATTATAACAGACTTAATTCTTGGGTGTGGTAGTATGGTAAGTTCAAGCACCAAGAACTCTAACTGTTAGTAGGCCGCCTTTCATCTCATCAGTCATGAAAACGATAAGTCCTACAGTTTTGATTTGTTCCATCCTAGTCTTTGTTCTGCTCAACAACCCACGAAATATACTTTCACTGTCATTCTTGTATGGTACGTTTGTGGCTTTTGTTCGTATAAAAATTCCAAAACTAATTTATCTCGAACACCCTTAGCGACCTCTCGGTTCCGAGTTTTCAATGTCATGAGATTTGACTAAGCATAACTTTGAGAAAATAGACACTTAAGCTCACATTACATATTTTGAATAAAAAATCTGTTGTAAACTCTAAAACATATCATGTTCTGTTACTATTTGCAATCACCATTAATTATTATGTACTATATTATATTGGAAAAGGCTTGTCGTACAAAATCAGTGTGTCGATCCCTACAATACTATCAAATATGTCCATGTATGTGACCGTATCTGATTATGTGAACAAATAAACTTGGTCGTACTACTGTAGTAATATTTTTGCCTAGTTGGGAAGTAGGCTGCTATCCTGTTTTTTAATCGCTGAAGTGTTCAGTGAAAATCCTAATATGGATTTCATAATGCCATTATTTTGAATCTGCAAATTCTAATATTCCAGTTTACTTTGCGATGTCTAATAACACTGGTCTGACAGTCAGTCAGTCAGCTACAACGTAGGACCAGGCGCATATATGCATCGGTCCAGGTTGTCACACCTCATTAGCACAGCAAGATGAACACCGGATTCATAGGAGTGGTTAGGTCAAAGGTGGTAATATATAGGAGAAAAATTGCATATAAGGATACAGTACAGGAAGAAAGAATTAGTTAGTAGAGAGAAATATATGAAGTGATTTTAATCTCTTAGTTTAAGGGAAGACGGAGTGTATACACCTACGCCATTGTGATCGATTCTGAGCCATGTCACCAAGAGTCTCCAACCATTGGTTACGACAGTCACGCAGACCCCAACCAAGTAGTCTACATCTACCAACATGGCTCAGACTAGAGGTTAGTGTCTTCAAGCACTGATGACACGTTTTGGTTTGGCCGCCCCTAATTCTCTTCCAACCATCTCTAGCACCCGTTAGCATTGCTTGACGTGGTAATCGGTATTCAGGCATACGTAACACATGGCCCAACCATGTCAGTCGATGAAGATTCACAACCTCATCAACTGATTTACCATCATTACCTAATACCCTGCGTCTAACCTCACTATTACTTACCCGGTGATCCCAACAGACGCCAGCAATATTTCTAAGGCATCTGTGGTCAAATACTAGTAGCTTACGGGTGTCTTCTACTCTTAAAGGCCATGTTTCGCTGCCGTAAAGTAAGACAGAACGGACTGCCGCGCAGTATACTCGTCCTTTTATTGATAGACTGATATCTCGCCTTCGCCAAAGGTGACGTAAGTTGGCAAAAGCCAAGCGAGCTTTTTGAATCCGTGCTGAGATTTCGTCCAATACCAGCCCATTAGGGCTGATCAGACTTCCAAGATAAGTGAAGTTGTCGACGCATTCAACTACTTCACTCCCTATCCTTAGTTCAGGTGTTGACGCAGGCCAGTCCTGAAGCAACAACTTGCATTTAGAGGGAGAGAAGCGCATTCCAAAAATTCTGGCATTGTTGCTTAGTGCTACCATAAGCTCTGACTCGACTAGTGGTGTTCGAGTAAAGAGCCTTTACACAGTTTATGTACTTCTGGGGTACGCCTTTCAATGACAGACACTGCCACAGAATCTCGCGGTCTACCGAGTCAAATGCTGCTTTTAAGTCAAGAAAGACCACCATTGTCGGACGTCGATAAGTATGCCTGTGTTCTAAACCCTGACGAATGGTGAATATGTGGTCGATGCAGCCACGACCAGGTCTGAAGCCAGCTTGGTTCTCTCGTGTTTGCAGTTCACGAGTCCTAGTTAGGCGTCTGATAATTATCGAGGCTAGTATTTTAGATATTATATTTAAACTAATCCCTCTATGGTTGTCACAGGATGATTTTGATCCTTTGTTATATATTGGAACGATAAGTGATTGCGACCAGTCAGATGGAATAACGTCTAACTCCCAGATCTTAGCTAAAATATTAGTCAACCTAATCGCTAAAATTGGACCACCATCCTTAAAGACTTCTGGAGCCAATCCATCTGGACCAGCTGCCCTTCCTCGTTTCAGGTTAACTATAGCCTTTCGAAGTTCTGCTAGAGTTGGGGGGCCTACTTCAATGTTCCATTCACACTGTCTGGGAATGAAGGGTAGTTGTAGAGTCGCTGAAGGCCAGCTGAACTGTTCCCTAAAATGTTCCGCCCATCGTCCTAAACGTCTGGACTGGGAGTAGATGAGAGTATCGGTGTAGAGCCGAGAGTTGAACGCGGATATTTATGACAGTGTACTTTTTATTACCAGTAAGTCTAAAAACGCCAATAATATAATCTAACCAAAACATGTTTCAGACCAAAAACAGACTGTAAATCACCAATCCCGGGGAAATGTACGTAGACTTCTTAGGGATTACGTTAAAAGTTCAGATATACGTCAAACATGGCTTCTGTATATAGTGATACCAGTAATAATGCTAATAGTGATAATAATAGTTATTTTCATTTACCGAGTTTCAACAAGAATTATTTTGCTTGTCGATTACACAAACGTCAGATACCAACATAGCCTGGTCCCCAAAATATTCACGGTACTGTGTAATTACTTGTATATAGGCATAACATTGTTACATTGTATATATTCTCTACGTATCCTAATAAGCAATATTTTTTGGTCGGAATAACTTCAGTATATATTTTTTTATAAACACTGCACCTTTCTTTTTTGTTCATATCATTGTGTACCTTTCTCAATTTAGCTGTTTAGCTTTCATTGTTGGATATTGTGTGTTAAGTTCTTTAATAAAGAGATACTTATATGGACGACCGTGGCATCAATCTGTTCCATTCACCAATACCTTTGAACATTTGAAAAATCGATTTCAGGTAAATTCAAATTGCCTTTTAGATCCCTGATATTAATCCACTCTTCCAATTTTCATTTGAAATTAGTTTCATTTAGTGGCATACTATCTACTTAGTACTCTATGTTTAAAGACATCAACTGGAAATCTTCATTTAACTTGTGCTTACAGTTTTTTGATACCAATTGGGAGCATTGTACCGTTTCAAAGAAAACTATCCTACAAATATTTGAACCTGAGTTACTCAGTGTTGAAACTGGAGACTTTACTATTAATCTTATGTCACATCGCTTAGCGCTGATCATACTGTATTCTTAAATCAATCAAATCCAGTCAATATAGAACTAGTTCATCCTATAGATGACCATTACATGGTTATAAAATATAATTTATCCATATTTACTAATAGTTTTGAATGGAAATAATTCCTTAGATATTGCACAAAGCAGATAAAATTAAAATCAACAGATACGGTCTTGTGCCTATTCGTTCATTATAACGCTGTTATCAAAGTATGTTTAAACATGATTCAATGGTTCTCGCGCCTAAGTCAGTTGCAATCTACTTAATTCGTTCTGTGCCGTTAAGTAACGTAATTTTTCTCAGCATACGCTCATTCTAAATTATAGTTCAGTATACGACCTTGTACCATATGCATTCGAAACCATGATGATCGCCAAGAAAATTCAACTTAATAACTACTTCTAGTCCTATGTAAACAGATTTTACAAACGTTACTTATACTAATCAGTTGGTCTTATCATTATTCCATAACTGACAGATGTTTTTAGGGATAATAATATAATGATAGTTGCAACAAATGTAGCAAAACATTTATGTTATTAAAAAAAATCGAAAAGTCCCGTTTTTGAAATTGATAAGTATACCATGTATAGATTACTTACTTACTTACTTACTTACGCCTGTTACTCCCAATGGAGCATAGGCCGCTGACCAGCATTCTCCAACCCACTCTGTCCTGGGCCTTCTTTTCTAGTTCCATCCAATTCTTGTTCATTTTTCTCATGTCTATCTCCATTTCTCGGCGTAATGTGTTCTTTGGTCTTCCTCTTCTCCTTTGGCCTTGAGGATTCCATGTGAGGGCTTGTCTTGTGACGCAGTTGGGTGCTTTCCTCAATGTGTGTCCTATCCACTTCCAGCGCTTCTTCCTGATTTCTTCCTCCACTGGGATCTGGTTTGTTCTCTCCCACAGTACGTTGTTGCTAATAGTGTCCGGCCAATGGATCTGAAGTATTTTGCGTAAACAACTGTTAATAAACACCTGTATTTTCTGGATGATGGCTTTCGTAGTTCTCCAGGTTTCTGCCCCATACAGTAGAACTGTCTTGACATTTGTATTGAAGATCCTGACCTTGATGTTGGTTGACAGTTGCTTTGAGTTCCAGATGTTCCTCAGTTGTAAATATGCTGCTCTTGCTTTGCCGATCCGCGCCTTCACATCTGCATCAGATCCACCCTGTTCATCAATGATGCTGCCCAAATATGTAAAGGTTTTAACATCTTCCAAATCTTCTCCGTCAATTGTGATTGGATTGGTGCATGCTGTCTTGTATCGGAGAATCCTGCTTTTCCCTTTGTGTATGTTGAGACCTACTGCTGCTGAGGCTGCTGCCACACTGTTTGTCTTCTCCTGCATCTGTTGTTGCGTTTGGGATAGAAGGGCCAGATCGTCTGCGAAGTCTAGATCATCCAACTGCATCTTAGATGTCCATTGTATCCCGCGCTTCCCTTCAGACGTTGACGTCTTCATGATCCAGTCGATCACCAGGAGAAAGAGAAAGGGTGAGAGTAAGCAACCTTGCCTAACACCGGTCTTCACTTCGAATGACTTTGTCAACTGTCCTCCATGAACAATTTTGCAGTGTAATCCATCATATGAGTTCTGTATGATATTGACTATCTTCTGAGGCACGCCGTAGTGTCGAAGAAGTTTCCATAGTGTTGTTCTGTCCACGCTATCAAATGCCTTTTCGTAGTCAATGAAGTTGATGTAGAGTGATGAATTCCATTCAATTGATTGTTCCACAATTATCCGTAGAGTTGCGATTTGGTCTGTACACGATCTATCCTTACGGAATCCTGCCTGTTGGTCTCGAAGTTGGGCGTCTACGCAGTCCTTCATCCTGTTTAACAATACCCTGTTGAAGACTTTTCCCGGTATTGAGAGAAGAGTGATGCCCCTGTAGTTATCACAGTTGCTGAGATCGCCTTTCTTCGGTATTTTGATTAGAAGTCCTTCTTTCCAGTCTGTTGGTACTTGTTCCTCATCCCAAATCTTATTGAAGAGAATGTGGAGTATCCTTGCAGTTGCCGCTACGTCTGCTTTTAGTGCCTCTGCTGGGATGTTGTCCGGTCCTGCTGCTTTGCCACTCTTGATTTGTCTGATGGCCATGCTGATTTCTTCAATTGTTGGTGGGCCAACATTGATTGGGAGGTCCGTGGGTGCTGCTTCGATGTTGGGTGGGTTCAGTGGAGCTGGTCGATTCAACAGTTCTTTGAAGTGTTCTACCCACCTGTTTTGTTGCTCTTCAATGTTGGTGATTACCTTGCCTGCGTTGCTTTTCACTGGTCGTTCTGGTTTGTGGCGATTTCCAGAGAGTTTCTTTGTCGTGTCATACAATTGTCTCATGTTTCCTTCTCTTGCAGCCTTTTCCGCCGTCGTTGCTAAATCTTCCACATATTTACGTTTGTCGGTTCTGATGCTCCTCTTCACTTGTTTGTTTATTTCCGTGTATTCAGCTTGTGCCTTGGCTTTTTCTGCTCTTGTTCGGCTGGTATTGATTGCTGCTTTCTTGTTCCTCCTTTCTTGAATCTTATCCAGTGTACCAACAGTGATCCATTCCTTGTGATTGTGCTTCTTGTGACCCAGGACCTCATGACATGTTGAAGTGATTGCCTCTTTGATCCCCTTCCAGTTGCTCTCCACAGTAGTTCCTTCTCCATTGAGTAGATCATGAAAGGCCTGGAACTTGTTGCTGAGGACTATCTTGAATTTGTTGAGTTTGTTAGTATCCTGGAGAAAGGCCGTATTGAACTTTTGTGATACTGTCTGCCCCGTTGTCCAGTGCTTCTTGAGTTTCAATTTCATCTTGGCGACCAGTAAGTGATGATCTGATGCTATATCAGCTCCTCTCTTGGTTCTCACGTCCTCTATAGTCCTCCTGAACGTTTTGTTGATGCAAATATGGTCGATTTGGTTTTGTGTAGAGTGATCCGGTGAAGTCCATGTGGTTTTGTGTATGCGTTTATGTGGGAATACGGTGCCGCCTATGACCAGCTTATTGAAGGCACATAGATTTGCAAATCTCTCACCATTTTCGTTTCTTTCTCCTAGTCCGTGTCGTCCCATGATGTCTTCATATCCAGTGTTGTCCGTTCCAACCTTGGCGTTGAAATCTCCCATCAGAATGGTCAGGTCCTTTGTTGGGCACTTCTCGACGATTGACTGCAGCCTATTGTAGAATTGATCTTTAGCGTCTTCATTGTAGTCGTTGGTAGGCGCATAGCATTGGATGATGTTCATTGAAATGCCCTCTTTCTTTGTTTTAAACGAGGCTTTGATGATCCTTGGTCCATGAGATTCCCATCCTATAAGCGCATTTTGCGCTTGTTTGGACAGCATCAATGCAACTCCTTGTGTATGTGGTGCATTTTCTTCTTCATGGCCGGAGTATAACAGGAGCTCTCCTGTAGTTAGTCGTTGTTGTCCAACTTGTGTCCAATGTGTTTCACTGATCCCAAGTACCTCTAGGTTGTATCTTCTCATTTCTGCAGCAATCTGGAAGGCTCTCCCGGTGTCCCACATTGTACGAACATTCCATGTACCTAAATAAATGGTTGCTCTGGTTGTCAGAAGGGGCATCGGCCTCGTAACTTCCGAAGGAATTCGGCTTTCATCATGAGGCGTCATAATTCTTCTAAATGAAGACCTTCTGACTCCCAGGGCAGAGTTTAAAAGGTGTGAATAATTTATCTGGTTAGCGTTTTTTTAGCGAGTTAGTTTTCTACAGGATGGACGCTAACCCCATCCCCAACCCTCCTCCTTTATCCGGGCTTGGAGCCGGGAGTAGCCCCCGGAGGGACTCCAGGCGGATACTACCCCTAACTCAGGGTCTGAAAAGTCGGAAAAATGAAATTTTCGCAAATGCGATAAAAACGATCTTGGTGGTCTAATTATAGTATTCCGGCATCAGACAATGGGTTTTAAGCGTTATTTAGGCCCTAACGCTTCAGGCTGGGCCATTTCGCTTACTACCCTATACATGTGTTGTATGCACTATTAGCTATATGGTTATATAGAGCTGAAGGTCTCATATGAGGCTGGAGGTTCGCCATTGTTATTGTGGACGGTTCGGCATTGCTTTGGCAAGTTTTGCTGACTGTTCATGCAAAAATTGGTTTGCTGGTTAACCGATTTCATTCATACTGGTGGTTGCTTTTCAGTGTTCCCGAGGGCCATTGTCATTGGGACATTGTAAGGCATGCCGCCATTGCTAATATTAACGAGTTTGACTGTCGTGTAAGCGGAATGGGTCAACTTTGGCCTGTTCGTGCTGTGCATAATTGAATCGCGCGATCATTGATCGGAATAACTATACATGCGATGTGAGTGTGTATATGAATGGTGCGAATGGTCCACCAGGGTTCTTGGTACCTGTGTGGTTGCGCCACAGGATTGAGCTGTACTATTCAGATTGTAGCGTTAAGGCCTGTACGGTGTCTGGTTCCTCTGCTAAACCATGTATAGATAGTTTATAATAAAACTTAGCAGCTGACTAAAGGTTCTAGTCATCACTTTCAAGGCAAATTTTCGTGAAAAGGCTAATATTACTACCTAGTTATCTAAATCAAAATTGGTCTAGTTAAAAAGAATACTATGTATGGTGCCTGTTTACAGAAAAATTAATTTTCAACAAGTGATTGTATAAATTTTCATGTTCGGCTAAATGCTGCTTCATTAATGGTCTTAGCCTTTAAATATCAACTCCCCATACATAGGTCTATATCTTTCTGCAATGTCACTAAGTAGATGAGTGCTTCGTAATCAAATCAATACCGTTGAAAATTCAATTGTTACTCCACACTGATGTATTTTCAACGGTTACACTGATATAGCCCCCAAATGCCCTGGTACGGCCGGATGTGAGGCGAGTCCGCTCTCCCTCTCGAAATGCTATCACATGGCCAAGCGTATATAGCCTCTGCCAAAGAAGTCCTACTCACTACCTCCTCGTGGCCGGGGTGTTGGTTACGAAATTGAGAGGATGAAAAGTGAATGACTGGCTCTTTATCCGGGCCGGTGAACACGGTGAGTTCACCTAGGGGAGTTGGAAAACCCTGGTTCCAAACCAATGGTGCACATGGGCTTCAATGTCCTGAAGGAACAAATGGCGTATGAACCAATCGTTGGTCAGCGACTGCCATGGGACTGCATCTCCTTAAAATGCTCCATTGCCTTGTGGATCAGACCTTCAGGTCGAAGGCTCCGGATGTGGCCCCCTAAGAAAACCACCTTCTTCGGTTTGAGCAGTATCACAGCCCACACACAAATAGAAAAAATAAAACACTGGTAAAACTAAAGGATTTCAGCTTAAATATAGATTATAGTACGATCGATACAAACTTTGACAGATTTAGAATAAACAGTCCAGCATTCTATCAGGTTCACACTTACCTTTACGTATGAGGAATTTTTTACCCAGAAATATCATAGAATATCTAGTTTTTGCAACTGTTATAATCATTCTTATGTCTTTCGTATCCAGGACTATATTGTTCTTCATTGTCATCGTCCACAAAT